AAAAAAAAAAAAAAAAAAAAGAAGGGAAAAATGAGCTCTCAAGTAATATTAAGAGATAAAATCAGGATAATAGGTAACTATTTAGAGAAATATTTATCTTGTTCTTTTCTTTAGTTTTAGTTAATTTTAATATTGTGTAATCACTTAGAGAGAGATTAAAGATACTAAGAAAACAATATTATTTATCTGTCTTGCTCTTTTAATACAAATTTTTAGGTTCCCTTAGAGTAGGAAACATTAGTATTTAACAAGGATTATTTTAGTGATATATTATTTTAAAAATATACCTTCTACTCTTATGTACACATACTCAACTGCTATTAAAGATTACAATATTAGGCTAGGCAAAGTGGCTCATACCTGTAATCCTAACACTCTGGGAGGCCGAGGTGGGTGGATTGCTTGAGCTCACAAGTTTGAGACCAGCCTGAGCAAGAGTGAGACCCCTGTCTCTACTAAAAATAGAAAATCCGAGGAAGAAGATTTCTTGAGCCTAAGAGTTGGAGGTTGCTGTCAGTTATGATGCCACAGCACTTTACCCAGGGCGATAGCTTGAGACTCTGTCTCAAAAAAAAAAAAAAAAAAGATTACAATATTATTAAAATTCTAAGTCACCTAAAATGAAGCATTATACTTTAAGCATTACAGAAGTTAAAGTAGTTTAGGAACAGAAATACAGGCTCAGCACCTGTAGCACAGTGGTTACGGCGCCAGCCACATACACTGAGGCTGGAAGGTTCGAACCCAGCCTGGGCCAGCTAAACAACAACGACAACTACAATTGGCAGGTATGTGCCTGGAGCCTGGAGCCCAGCTACTCAGGAGGCTGAGGCAAGAGAATCACTTAAGCCCAAGAGTTTGAGGTTGCTGTGAGCTGTGAAACCACAGCACTCTACCAAGGGTAACATAGTGAGACTCTGTCTCAAAAAAAAAAAAGAAAAAAAAAAGAACAGAAATACAAAGACAATTAATACAACTGGAGAATAAGTAATTTCTTTTTAATAAAAGAGGCCAGAATCTTGAACTTTCAACTGGTAAACAATTTGTTACCTTCACCTGAAGTCGAAAACATAATATCATTTAAGAAAATAATATTAATTCTATAACCACAGTATAAAGATAGCACACTGGGAATTACAATAATCAGGTAGGAATTTAGCTTGAAAAAATATCAATTTCTTTGGGTTGTTCTACCTTTAAAGTCAGACATACAGTAAATTACAGATGTAAGGCACAAAACAGCATTCCTGGCATAGTGAGCATTTTTTTTTTTTGCAGTTTTATGGCTGGGGCTGGGTTGGAATCCACCACCTCCAGCATATGGGGCCAGTGCCCTACTCCTTGAGCCACAGGTGCTGCCCATGGTGAGCATTTCTTTCCTGTATTCTATATGAATCTACTTTCAGTATCTATTTGATACTAATCTCCCCAACTTCCAAAGAATAAAAGTAGTAAATGAAAATGCAAAGCTTACATTTAGGGCACTAGAAAATAATAGCCATTATATGAGAAGAAAATGACCCATAAGATTAATTTTTTTAAAGTTTGGTTCTGCCTGAAAAACTACTTCAATAGCTATGCAAAGAGGCATGTTTTCCCACCTATCATGTAATTTTCCTGGTTATACTTGCATAGTACTCTATAAAGACAATTAGTGGAAAAAATAAAAGAGACCAAAGTTTTATGCAATTTGTATCTTTTACTTTTTATTACCAACATACTATATGAAAAATATCAATTGTTATGTTTTAACTTATCTGTCTTCTTCCTAAGTCCATATGCTTTAAACAGAAAAGGCCTGCAACAAAGTAAGTTCCACTTTTTTCAGTATAGTAAGTTCCTACTATACTGAGGGCTGAAGTTTCATGGTTTCCTTTGCAATGTCAATAGTAAAAGTTATAACTATCAAAAGAAGGAAAAAAATACTGTGTGAGTACCCCCTTAGTCCCTAAATTTTTTCTCACAAAGAAAAAGTAAATGTGAGCCATATATTCTTGCAGGAAAGAGTTACTTTTTCCTTTTCATAAACTTTTTTGCTTCTTTCACAAGCTCCTCCACATCCTCCTCCTCTTGGTCTTCCTTTTCTGGTTCCCATTCAGAATCTTCGTCTGTTGGCTCATATTCTTCCTCATCATCTATGAAGCTGTCATTCTGGTCATACTCATCGGGGTGCCCAACATCATCATTATCTTCTTCTGAAATATTTCTCACTGAAAAACATTAGATTAGTACACATCAATCAACATGAGATTGGGTCCTACTGTAAAACGTCTTTCTGTCTAAAGAATACATTTTGTGAATATGTAGCTTACCACTACAAATTTCTATAAAGGGCACTAAAATGATGTTTATTGTTTAAGATTCTAACTTGAGGATCCTGAGAAGAAAATGCTCCTTAAGATTCATAATGGCAGTTCCTTAATAGTATCATAATCATGTTCATGATCCCCTATCTTCCTATGTGGCAGGATGTATTCTTGTCCTAGTTATTCACTGCCTTTCCTGCGATATGATTATATGAGTGGCCAAAGCAATCTAAGTGAAAGCAGCATGTGCCACTTCCAAAAAGAAGCTGTTCTCCCTCTGCCACCAGAAAAGCATGTCCCATATAGGGGCTGATCCCTCAGCCTGAATTCCAGGATGATGACACACATGGGACAGGGGCACAGACAATTCCCAGCTACAATAGGAAGGAGAAATATACTTATTGTTAGACACCAGGAAAAGCTGACTGACACACCAGGGCTGTGATCAAATGACAACACATGAGTTTAGGCACTTCAGAAAGTATAGTTTTATAAGTCTAAGATATTCTTAAAGGTCATGTGTCAATGAGGCTAGGATTGCAATGGTAACAACTATTAAAATCTGTAGATATCTAAATATTATAATATCAGAATTTATCTGTTTATAAATTCATTTCTTCCCATGTCCCACTCTGTTTTAATTCTTTCCACAGTGAGTAACAGATTTGGTTTAAAATAAGGCAGCAAGAGACTCTAGGACAATGTGAAATATTTTTTAAAAAACTAGATTTTACAAAGTCTTCTGAATGTCAGAGAACAATACCTAATAAACAGCAAATGTATAGGTTAAAAATATTAATGGCTGTACTTTGTATGCTCTGGTTAACATCTTTCTAAAATGTTCACATGCAACATATAGCTACATTTAAATGGAAGTCAAGGGACTTGATGAAGGGAAAAATCTAAGAATGACAAAGGAAGTAATGTATCTGTCCTTTTAACTCCTATAATCCAATACACTTAAATTGGGTTATAACTCAAATAAAGAGAATATTTGAGATAGTTTATAATTATTATAATAATAATAAAATACAAAAGTAGAAACTAAAAGGGAAAAACAGAATATATGTCTGTTAACTTCAAGTTTTAATATAATTATTATAAACTAAGAATCAAATTTCTCCCCATTTTTTGGTAGCCATGGCTAAAAAGCCTATATAATAACTTACACAATTCTCATTAGCATGGAGTAGGAAGCACACCAGTTTAAGGGAAACCTTGCATTACTTTTATCTGTATATGTATCTTATCTCCTGCAAATCACAAGGGCATGTTTTATGTCTAGCTAATCACAATTCCTCATATTTTTTTAATGATAAAATGCATTTAAGAAACATTTGGAGGCTAGTTTTCAGGCGAGGGAGCGAGGGGAAAGAACATCAATATCTCTATTCTTGACTATTTTCTCTTGGTAGTACCCCATCTACATAACTCTTTTTGCAAGACATGAGTTCACATTCCCATATAGCAGGCATTAATGACAATCTCAATAAATGGTTTTCTTTCTGATTCACAAATTGTCTTTGCGAGACTCATAAGAAATATGGCAATAAAGCTGAAACAACTTCAGGTTCTTCTCTCAGCTGACTGGCTGCTCCTTCTCAGTCTTCTTTGCTGATCTTCCTCACCTCTGAATGTTGGGGTGACCATGATTCAGGCTGGGACCTCTTGTCTAACTCACTCCTTAGATGATTCTACCCAGTTTTATATCCTACATTCCTAAATTTACATTTTAAGCATGATCTACTGCTCTGAATTCCAGATTCATTAATCTAACTACCTACGTATCATCCCAACTTAGATGACTTATAAAGATCTGGAACATACCATTTCCAAAACATAACTCTTTGAGTTGCTTCTCCAAATCTGGTCATGTTCTTATTAGTTTTGAATACATGACTTCTCCAGCCATCCAATCTCCTACTTATTTTAGTAAAAAAATCTTGGAGTCCTACTTGAATACACCTTTCTGAAAACCCAACATTCAATATGTCAGGTGATCCTACAGGCTTCACCTACCAGGTATATTCACCACTTCTCACCACACCCATTCTCACATGCTTTTTTTTTTTTTTACACACCACATATGTTTATTGGGTTTCTACTTTTTGCCTTCACAAAATCAAAAAGGCTTAAAATTTAATAGCAATAACAATGTTTAAGATAAGGATTAGAAACAAAAACCTCATAAAGAATGAACAAAGATAAATACATTCAGAAAAGAAATCAGACGATTGCTGCAATGAAATATTGAGTAATAATAATAATAATGCAAAAAAAGTAACATTCACATCGTCAAATCCACTCTCACATTCTAACCTCCTGGTCCAAACACTACCATCTTCTTCCTGGACACAACAGCCTCCAAACTGGCTTCCTTGCTTCCATTCTATCCTCTACAAAACAGCCAGAAAAATCTTCCAATATCTTTCTCTCTCACTCTAAATAAAACCTAAAGTCCTGACTGCAGGTTTTAGCTTCTCAGAGCCTACACAAATGGTTAGTTTTTCTGATTTCTTCTCATTACCACCCTTTGTTTACTTTCTTTGTTCCAAGTCTACTGTTTTTTGCTGCTCCTAGAACACTCCAAGCATGATCCTTGCCAGGGTTTCTAAATTCACTGTTCCTGCTGCCTGGCATATTCCTCCTCAGATAATTGCCTGGCTTGCTCCCTCCTTCAGGCTTCTGCTCTCATGTCAACTGTCACAGTGTGTCATTCGCTATCCTATCTGAAATGGTGCTCCCCTTCCCCCATAAGCACCCCTACTATTCTATCCTCTTACACAGCTTTATCTCTCTTCTTTGCAGTTACCATTACATGACACGGTATAATTGTTTATATGTGCCTTCGCAAAATTCATTCCACAAAGACAATCATCACATCAGCACTTAAAACTCTGGTAAGGATGGTCTACATGACACCACCAACAAAGGACACAGAGCTGACTTTGCACTCATGTTAGCACTTTGGTTCTTCCCTTGCTTTGCTACAGGGCTTTATTTCTGCTGTATCCTCAGCTCCTACAACAGTACTTACCATGTAGATGACACTTAATAAATATATTTGTTGAATGTATCAATGGATAAATAAACCATTTGCAAATCAACTAATGAACATTTTTAGTTTTACAGAAACCCTTCTTATTTTAGCTTACAGTTTTGATCACTAGCCCAGGCAGTATTTAGTACTATGAACTGCATAAAAGACTTGTATTTGCTAAATGACAGAACTTTAAGCCTCAATGACACCTGGAATCTTAAGCAACTTATTGAACATACTCATATTAATCAGAAGAATCTCAACTGTTTCCTCAAAAACTCGTTTATACTATGTAATTATCATCATTTACAATTGAGGTTTACTTTTACACATTTGTGTTCTTTAAACAGAAGTCTAGTATCTAACAAAATCATCTGTAAAAGGACTTGATGTAGAACTGGTAGTCAAGTGTTATTCATTTTATTTCAAATGAACAGGTACTTTAACTGTATTTTCAGTGAAAGCAAGGGAAGAGCCAAAGTGCTAACATGAGTGCAAAGTCAGCTCTGGAATTCAGCTCTGTGTCCTTTGTTAGTGGTGTCATGTAGACCCTCCTCCTTACCAGAGTTTTAAGTGCTGATGTGATTGTCTTTGTGGAATGAATTAAATAATAGATTCTCTTGTAGCAAACTCAATTAATGACTTTAAATATTATATAACACAAATGCTACCTAGATGAGAATTTCCCTTTTTGTAATCATTAGCAAATTCTGAAGGTATTTTTAGAGAAGTGTCTGTTTCTGCCTTTTAGAATAACTTGGTTAAGAAAGAAATGAAACTTTTCTTACTTAGAAAATGCTCTGAATCCATGAACTTGTTGATTTAAATTATTACATGAGTTCCTGAATTGTGGGAACAATCTCAGGAAGAAAGGTTCTGAAATAAATATGACTAGCATCGAACCAAGGAAGAAAATGTCTGCTTTTACCATAAACGTTAATATGCTTTTATACAAAAAGGGATTAGAGAACATTGGGGGGGGGGTGAGAGTATGCATTTATTGTCTAACTAGGCAAACCAAAGCACCTAGTGTGGTATCTGAATTTAAAGTAATGAAACTACTAAGCCAGGTGTGGTGGCTTTCATCTGTAATCCTAGCACTCTGGGAGACTGAGGCAGGAGGACTGCTTGAGCTCAGGAGTTTGAGACCAGCCTGAGCAAGAACAAGAACCCATCTCTACTAGAAATAGAAAAACTAGTTGGGTGTGGTGCTGGGTGCTTGTGTACCCAGCTACTTGAGCCTAGGAGTTTGAGGCTGCTGTGAGCTAGGCTGATGCCACGGCACTCCAGCCTCAGCTACAAAATGAGACTTTGTCTCAAAAATAAAGTAATGAAACTATTAAAGTTCCCATAAAACTTTCTATATCACTCTTTGTTATACAAAAAATTTCAAAGAAAGCTTCTCATACAAGGAAGGTTTTTAGTTAGAAAAGTAGACAACTCGGGTATGAGGAGGTACATCATAGTAGATCCCAAGCCATGATCCCAGTATTGCACAGAGAGTGCCATTTTGGTGAAAGGTGACTGAAGCAAGCACAGGAAACAAACATGTTTAACTATGACATGCACATTCCCATCACAATGCTCTATTTCCTAAGAAGTGTCTTTTGTTTTAGAGAACCTTTCTCTGTTTGTTATTTACGTTATCATATACGGTGTGAAGAGTGGGATCTGGCAAGTAGCACTATTTGAAGTAATCAGCGATTGCTGGAAACTGCGTGCTCCTCACCTGACAACCCTTTGAACTTCCTCCATCACAGCTCACCTTGGTGCAGCTTCTCTCAGGCTGAGCTGCCCTCATTTGAAAGGGGCTTTTTGATATATTTGGAATGTAGTTTGGATATGGCCACTTTAATAAAGAAAA